CTTGTTCTAACACATCCATCTTTTTTTAACCCAAAACCCCTCCCATACCCTCCCACCTTTACTTCCACTCCTCATTATCTACACCCTTTCTTCGCACCCTTCCCGCCCCTACACCCACACGCACACACACACACACAGAGAGAGAGAGAGAGAGAGAGAGAGAGAGAGAGAGAGAGAGAGAGAGAGAGGGAGAGAGAGAGAGAGAGAGAGAGAGAGAGAGAGAGAGAGAGAGAGAGAGAGAGAGAGAGAGAGAGAGAGAGAGAGAGAGAGAGAGAGACAGACAGAGAGACAGAGAGAGAGAGAGAGAGAGAGCATAACAAAACAGTCTGAGAGATAGTTGAAGTCTCTTTCTTTTCTGTGCTTTTCTTTTCCTTTTCCTCCGTCGTTTAAGAGGATGTGGTATCGTGATGGATTGGGGCTCGAGTAAATCTGATTTCAAGTTTAAAATAAATTGAAAGCACTTAATTTGCTCAGCGGGTGTTCTTCTGACTGTTCAAGTGGATTGATCTGTATAAAAAGAACACAACATCTGGGATTTCCTGGTGTCACACTAGCACCACAATGCCTCTTGAGTAAGGCAATGTCTTTTCTTTAAGCACATTGTTTTTTTTTTTTTCAATCCAGTTTTCTTTCGTTCCGACAAGTTGACTAAGACAACGGTCTTCCAAATGATTTAGACCTCCCCAAAACCACACATTGTAGCACCCAGTCATCACATATAAGAAAACTAAATACACAACTTGTCTTCGACATATTATTGACTTGATTTTTAACATCAACAATAAAGAATAAACAATAATAAATGGTTTTTTTTTAAAGTAAAAAACCCAAAAACAACATAACAAAGCAAATAAAGGATTGATATAGAAGAAGGCAAAACAACTGATTTAAGCAAACTATTTATTTTTCCATTCTCATAGTCCTCATTTCATTTACAACAGGTTGCTGAGTCATGCAAACATGATGTGATCCAAGAACACAGAAACTTTTCACTCTGCCCAATCTTTCCTCACACACGAACCGAACTTACAATTTTTAACGCGAAGTCGTGTTTATATGACCATCAGATACTTCAATGACATTTGTGTACACATGTATTTGTCTCCCTCTTAGTATTCAATAAAGTATTATGTACACAGCTGCTTGTTGATCAATATCAATTCGATAATTCATTTTATTTCAAAATGTATTCTTTTCATTCTGCATTTACTCTGCCATTTCTTTTATCTCCCTTCCCTTTGCCCCTCTTTTCTCCCACCTCCCCCTCTCTCTCAGACACACACACACTCACACTCACTAACTCTCTCTCTCTCTCTCTCTCTCTCTCTCTCTCTCTCTCTCTCTGGCCTCTCTTCCCCCTCCTTTTCCTTTTCGTCCTATCTGTCTCCCTCTTCAACTTAATTCTTAATTAAAGATGATTCTCTCTTTTTAACTAAAACGTGCATCTGCTTCGGTGTCAAATTTCCAATGCTTTCTTTCCCATACATGCATAAACATTCTTTCATAGGAGTTGCGCTTTTGTTCGAAGCAGGCATCATAACATTGAGAAAACAAGCAATTCTTAGTTACAATATAGTGTCATAATGCATACTTACAGGATAAACGAATAAGTTCATATAAAACAAAGAGAGGTACATGCCAACTTACATAAACACATACAGGCACACATACGTATACTCTCACACACAAGCACACACATGCTCAAACAATCACACACATACACACACACACACACACACACACACACACACACACACACACACATACACACTCACACACATACATACACATACGTTTTCTGTCTAAAATCTCTCTCCTTCTCTCTGCTCTCTTCTCTCTCTCTCTGTCTTTCTCTCTCTGTCTCTCTCTCTCCGTTGCTCTCTCTCTCTCTCTCTCTCTCTCTCTCTCTCTCTCTCTCTCTCCCTCTCTCTCTCTCTCTGTCTTTAAATCGTTTGTCTGCACGCCTCTCACTATTACTTTCAAACAAACATGTTGGCAGATACACTAGCACCCGTTCATACTCTAATTCACAAAGTATACACAAACGATCTTAGCACTTGATTTTTCGCCATCTATAATTACAACATGTCAACAAGATTTCTGCATTTAGCACAACAAGAATGATAAGCACAGGTATTTCAGGGGCAATAAAGAAGCATTCATAAAGTTTGTCTTCTTACACTTATGCAACGACAGTGACAGCAAATATTATGACATTGACGTGGACTCGTGAAGCTGAAACTAAACTGATTCTATCAATGGACTATCAATTTTGGGACTTAAGTTTGTGTGGGTTGAGGGAGAGAGGGGAAAAAAGGGAGCTAG